TTTCCCGGCACATCCTGCCTCGACCTCCCAGTCGGCTTCGAGCTGGCGGCCTCCGAAGAATGCGGCTAAAACTTTTGCAAGATCCCGAGTTTGTTTTGCGAGATCTCGCAAAAGTCCGTCTTAATTTTTTTTCTCCCATGTCCCCTGCGGGGCTCCATAGATAAGAATATGGATCTAGTAAAATTATATTCTGTGCTTTCTTGAACTGGGCAGCACGGTGGTGCGGGGGTTGCCTCACCACAAGAAGGTTCTGGGTTTGAATCATTCATCTGGCCTGAACCTTTCTGTGTGGCGTTTGCATTGTCTGTCCCAGTAGTCTGGAATATGAGTGGTTGTCTGTCTTTCTGTGTTGGACCTGGGACAGTCTGGCAACAGGGTGTACTGTGGCTTTTGCCCTCTGATAGCTAGGATAGGATCCAGCCCCTAGCCACAACCCTAATAAGCGAAAGTAGATGGATTTTTTTCTTGAATTCATATACATATTAAATGTATAATATGCTACTGTATAAGCTGCTGGTCTTGTCTATATACAAGAAACTACTGACAGCTGAGGACCAAAAAAGTGTTTGTGTTGTTTAAAGTTTTGTACATTCTGCACAGAGCCCTTGAACAGAAATATCCTCCAATCAGTGAGAAAACTGCACTCTGCTATTCAGACCGCGCAGCCCATCAGAATGCAGTCCTTCAAAAACACCCAATATGCTGTTGTAAACGGTGCCTTAATAAAAAGCTTGGCCCAACCAGGAGAGAGACAGAGACATGAATATTGTGTTAAAATGCTCACAACCAACATGCAACAGAGAATTTTTGCTGCTGTGAATTCACAGTATTATAGTTCTGTGACTCATAAATACATCCATATCTCATGACTAAGAAGGACATTGTAGGTACTTACAAAAGGAAGCCGCAACAAACCTAAAGTCTAATCACACCTCCTCCCTGGTTTTCCCAGTTTGGCAGTGCCTCAGTCAGATTCCTTTTGAAATTCTCTTCTGAGTCTTCGTGGCATTGAGAGTTAAAGTGGTGGGTTTGTCCCACAGAGCAGATCACTTGTCATTGTGTTCAAAGGCGTCAAAGCAGCCAAGGAGTGTGATAAAAACCGGATGATGTGTCTGCTTCTGCTATTGTATTTTGTACTCGTGATGCTTTATAACTCCCGACACAAGAATTTGGTGTCAGCACAGATACTCAGTGATAGCTGACAGCTTAAGTCTGTATTGGGTTTTTAACCTTTCTCACAGCTTTGTTATGGTCGTATGTGGTTTAAAAGGAACCCTGACAAGTTACTCTAAATATGTTACAAATTATCTCCACTACATAAAAACATACTTGAGAATAACTAATTTTTTTTTGTTATTCATTAAATCTTTGTTGTTTAAAATTATTTTGGAGCCGTGGGAGTGGCCATGTTTTTTTTACACAATGCATTCTGGGACGATGACATGTGGTTGTCGGCAGTATAGGCGCTTTCGTTCAGCTAACCTGTTTTGTTTTTTATGGTGTTGCATTGTGATCTGCTATATAAGTTAATTGGTATTAATTAACTTGCCTATTAGTGACCTAGTTACGACTTGGTAGACCAGTGCTATACTGGTCATGGAGACTAACAAGGGCTGCTCAAAGAACTGGATTAAGACATACGGCTTCAAAGTTTTGATACATTGTGTTGCATGGAATATCTGTAAAAATAACGATATTGTAATTTCACTGTATAATAAAAATTAGAATTCTATTAATGTTTTTATCATGCTGTTATGTGATACCATGGATAGCTGCTGCCATAAAATTGAGCTCTTTACAACAAACGCTCTCAGTCGCCGTTGCCATTGGCAGGCAGCAGCCCCATAGACACCAGTAGTTTTCCCTCACTCTCGCGTCCTCGTGTGACAGATTGTTTTCATCTTCATCTAAACTAAGTACTGGTTGACTATTTTCATCCTCTCTCTCGGTTTGTTCTGGTTCAAACTGTGATGCAGTGCAACCATATGATGACACTACCCAGAGTGTATTGAGAAGTAAATAACAATGGCGGCCTACTTGTAAATCGGTTATATATACAGGGAGTGCAGAATTATTAGGCAAATGAGTATTTTGTCCACATCATCCTCTTCATGCATGTTGTCTTACTCCAAGCTGTATAGGCTCGAAA